CACACCCACACCCTGCCCACCTGAGCTCCGCACTGCCTATACCCACTGAGTGCAGGCTCCATGCTGCGGCCAGACCCAGCTCCATGCTCTGCACTCCTGCCCAGCTGTAGCTCCTGCCCCCACCCCCGCCACTTCCCTACCCGCTGCCAGGAGTAAGCAGGATGCTGGCGAAACTGAGCAGGTCCCCCAGTGGTTGCAGCAGTGGCAGCAACAGCTCCACCCAAAAGCTGTATGCTGGCCAGCCCTTCCACCCACAAGGGTGTGAGTGAGGTGCAATTGAGTATGTTGGTGGGAAAGGGTGTATGTGGGTGCCTCACTCCCACCCTTGTAGATGGAAGGGCTGGTCAGGGTACAATTAGTTGGTGGGCACTGCAGGCCAAATGAAAGTGCCTGGTGGGCCAGATCCAGCCCATGGGCTGTATTTTGCCCGCTCCTGGATTAATCTCTTCCAGATATACTGATTTTCAAATATAAAATTGTTGCTCTACTCAGAAACTATTAGAAAAGATACAAAGTTGCCATATCTTAAATGTTACACATTTTTTAAAGATTAGCTTAGAAATTGGATACGTTATATTGCTGGAACAGAGACTAGAGGGGAATCACATGTATCCCAGGCTTTTATGTACAACACAAAGGCAACATTCTTCAAAATTCCTCAAATACGGTGGCGGGCTTCAGAAATAATGTGCAACTGAACTTCTCTACAATGGACTATGAATGTCCTGTCAAAATATTAAGTCTAATTGTCAGGTGTGACCTGGCCCTTCTGTAGCCTCAGACTATAGAGGGTACTCCTGGGGTGGGAAGAGACATGAAGAGAGCAAGGTGGGAAGCAAGCCGAGGACTGAAGTATTGCTCCAACCAGTCTTCCACTAATGTGAAGTCCTTTACTTATATTAGAGTGGCCTAAATTAGACTGAAGTAGTCTATTGGCCAGCACAGACTGCAGAGCTATAACTGGCCTTCTCCCTTGCCCACATCAAACACAGCTTGGATCCTAGGCAAAAATTAAGCACCATATTGAAATGTTCCTTTTTCAAAGGATGCATCTACACTGGGAAAACATCTCCAAAGAGATTTGGTAAAAACAAGTTAGGGCACCTTCTCAGGTCTTTGTTAGAGCTCTAAACACTTTTCATATCAGTTTAGTAGACTAGGTTTTGAGATTGTCCAGAAAATTGTCCCAGTATAGACAGGCCCCAAATTGTTGATATAGATATGTACCTTCTCATCCTCAACTCTTTTTTTTCTTTTATGATTTTTCTTTTATAACATGCCCTTCAAAAGTTTCTGTTTTAAGCCACTTACAGGGGTGTTGAGTAATAAGGCAATGCTGACAGCAATCTTTATCCAGTGACAAATCCAGTACCATTTTGTCAAATTTTAAGGGAGTCTATACACAAGCTCCATGGTGGAGGTGGGGGGGGCACTTTAATTAGAGTGGCTCTGACAGCTGCTCTAATTAAAGCACCCTCAGCATCATGATCCCATGCCTCAAAACAGTGGGTGTGAAGGGAGGGGTTGCTTGAACCAAAGCTTGTCCAGTGAGCTTTAGGTCAAGCACCCACACCACTATTTTGAAGCATGGGGACGCTGACTAGATGTAACATGGAGGCTACTGGGGTGCATTAATTAACACGCTCCAGCAGACTCAATTAATCAAGTCTGCTCCAATGTGTGCTCATTAGCACACATTGCAGCAGACATCCAGCATGTGTATAGGTGCCCTAAGATACCAGAGAGTAGAAAAATCATAAGCAAGGGCCCACAGGCTGGCAATTTCAGCCCAAACTCATCTTTAATCCAAAAAGGGTTTTGTTTTGGTATTTTAATCACTGATTGACTGCAATCTTTCCTTCCATGCTGGGATAGGTAAAAAATCCATATGTTAGATGTACTAGGGAATTTGTGAGGCTGTAAATCATAGCAGTAGTGTAAGACAAAATGTGTCCCAAGGGAGCAGATGAAGCCATAAGGAATGTAAAAAGTCACAGGGTTAAAGCCACATTAAGACAGCTGTTATGTTAATGAGAGTTCTGCTTTCCTTCTAACTGTGGGTCACTGATTTAGAAAAATATGAACAACTTTTTTATGGGTTTGTCACATTTGTCTTTAAAGCTCAGACAACCCAATACATCATTATCTGTCCCTACTCCAAACAGACCTAGAGTAGAAAATTATAGTTCCTATATTTCCCCACAACACATCCCATTCTCAGCCCCCAGTAGTGCAATTCCATTTAGGTTACTGTTTTCCATTTTGCTAGCATTTCAGTCTTAAGTAAATGTATTAAATAATTAATAGAATTATACCCCATGAAGTCTGTCTTCTGAACAAATGTACCCACACTTTTGATTTTCCTTCACAACTATAACATCTGTAGAAGTCTGACAGCTTGAAGAATTATACTTACAATACAACACTGTTGCAACTGGCATGCATGTTCTGCAAGGGTAAAGACAATATTTTTGGTTGTTTCAATTTATAAAGGGGGTTAATTGCCTCGGGTTTAGGTTTTAAATAACTCAAAACATCAAAGCAAAATTCTGTCAAACAACCCAAATTTACCTGTTTTCTTGTCCAAACTATGCACAACCACACATTTTGCATGATTTCAACACCCAAACCGCATATTGCTCCAAAGTCATTTGAAACTCAAAGACTAGCTAAAAGAGAGAGCGCACTCTCTCAGATGATTCACCAACTTAAGCAAAATTGATCCTTTGCCTAGCAATGGATCCCCAACCCTGGAAAGTTTTGCAAGGTCCTGGGTTTGATGGTGAGCATTTAAAGCACTGGAAAGTAATGGTGGAGTGCTTAGGACATTTTAAGGCCTCTGAGCTGTGCATTCAGCACTATTCTGGATTTGTGCTAAAGGATGCTCCAGTCTACCCAGTTATAAATGGATTCCTGTTCATTCAGGCTGGGGAATCAAAGCCACCTGGGCTGTGGTGTTAATCACATCACTCCCTTTTGTGCCAGAAACTGGCCCTTAGTTACACTTGCCCAACAGCCTGCTAGGCTTCGGTGGATCCTTGATTTTCATGGAACTCTCCTCAGCAGTGCTGAAGCAGAACATGTTTCACTAACATAAGTTCATTTGAGAATGTGGCATTTGTGGAGGTTTGCAGACCCAGCCTTTTTTTAAGATTTCAACTGTCTTCTCCACTAGAAGATTAAATCAATTCACATCCATATTTTGAAAATCTAGACGTCTAAGAAATGTTTTGTTAAAATGACAGTGGAGATGAAAAGAAAAAACAATAATCTTTCTTACTCCAAATGTTAAATTGCAAATAGTTCAGGTACCTCGCCTAACCAAATAACCCTAACAACTTCTGTGATTTTATAGTAACATGTTCCTAGCTTTGTTTTGTGCTCTGAATTTTTTTGTTTGTTTTGTTTTGTTTTTTGGTAACGGTTCTCTCTTCCCTGTTGCTGTCTGACACTCACAGAAATATCAGGTGACACTAACCAAATAACTATACATTGGCAAAACACTGACACTGATCATATGCAGAGTGCTGTCAGAAACACAAACCAAACAATCTCAGAAACTAGATAGAGACTACAACACAAAATTGCATATTAAATAAAGGGTTATATAAAGTATTGAACCAGTGTTCACAGGTAAACATAAAAAACATGAGCTTTATAATACCTAGTTTCTCATTTTCCTGGATTGCAATCATGCAAGAACATCAAATTGCCCTAAGCTTTCTGCTAACCCAACACACTGATGGAAAGGAGACTTTTTTCTTTAGGTAGCTTTTTAAACAGGTACCTGAACTCGAGCCTCAGTAAGTTTGGCTCTTTGTGCAAGTTCTTCCCGTGTGTATATATCCGGGTAATGGGTCCTCTCAAACGCTCTTTCCAGTTCTTCTAGTTGTTCTGCGGTGAAAGTTGTTCGACTACGGCGCTGCTTTCTCTTTAAAGGTAAATCTGGTTCAGAATCTATGTCAGAGCCTTCATCAGATTGGGGTGCTAATACTCAGAAGAAAAAAGGAGCAATTAGATTCCATCTGAAAACTGCCCCCCAAAAAATTAAGCCATGATTTTTTGTTGAGTTTTAACTGAAAGAAGAAAATAATCAGTTAATTATAAACTGGTATTTATTTGGTGATCCTAATTCTAAACAGATGCATGCTACCCTAAGAACAGAGGTAAATGCCACATTCCCATATAGTTCATAGAAATTTGTAGAGGCAAATGAATCACTCTCACCAGACTGTTCAATGGATTACATTTTTTTCTAGCCCTGACCCTTTCCTTTACAGTATTAGTTATTCAAACACATTCAGTGCTTTTTAAAAAATACATAAACATATTACAAATTGAAAATTGAGCTCCACTGTTCAATTTTGATTGGTCTGATAAGACACATGGTCCTGTTTTTCTCCTTAAGAAGGTAAACAAAACAACTAAGCACATTTGTCACAGAGACTTGTATACGCTGATGTAAAATTGAGTCCCAATGAATACTTGTGTATCTTTTAAATGCTCTTTCCAGACATATTTCAGGAATACTTTATTCTCCAAATGATTAAGGAAAGAGTTTAAAAGATTAAAAGGAACATAAGCATGATACAAGACATTAATTTTTAAACATGTCAAATATATGCATAACATTTTTATACTCTGTCCAGCTCTTCCATTTGCAGACTTACATAAGTATGATTATGTGTTTATGACCATTTGCTACTGTGTCCAACTTGTACCTGGCTAGCAGAACCTGAGAAGAGTTTAGAAAATTGAAATTATTCACAAAGAGCTTTTTTACAGTGAAGTCTTTGCCTGCTAGCTCCTAAAGGTCAATTTCTGGGATGAAAGTTTTGCTCAATTACACACTAGAAATTAATCCCATGTTTTATTAGCTGAGTATCAGTTACTGGTACAAATTGCTGTTAACAAAAATGAAAACACACATGAAAGGACAGGCTCAATTTCTGCTGTAACACAGGTTGAATTAAGTTGACTTGCATGACTGATGAACTAGGTCAATGGTTGCAAAAGTTCTTATTCTGAAGCTAGAAAGTGAGGCTAACGATACGCACCTCACATCCAAACCATCTCACTGGGGTAACTAAAAATGATATCACTCAACCCTCCCTTTTTAATCTCTGCTGTGGATTCCACCACATGAGAGTAGACTCATGAGCCTATTCTAGCACCAGAAGTTCTACACTAACAAAGCAGCTTGGGAAATGCACTGAATTAGTGCACCTAAGTCCCAGTCAACCCCCTGCTAACTTTCAGTGCTGCACCTAGCACAGCAAGAAACTGTACACCAGTAGAACTGGGAATACAGCTTGTCCCTACTGAACCTCATCTGACTGCGTTCAGCCCACAGGACCAGCCTGTCAAGGTCATCCTGGATCCTTGCCCTGTCCTCAGATGTCCACACATGTCCCCACAGCTTGGTGTCATCCACAAACTTAATCATTGCACTTTCCACTCCCTCATCCAGGTCACTGATAAAGATGTTAAAAGAGCATAGGCCCAAGCACTGATTCCTGGAGAAAACCACTGGAGATGGCCCTCCAGGATGAGGCCAACCCATCAATAACAACTTGCTGGGATCATCCTCTGAGCCACTTGCCAACCCACCTCCTATAGCCTGATCTAGACCA